CTGCTCACTAACCATGGAGGTTTTCCAGAGACCCAGGATTTGGAAGAACTGTCCTTGAATCATCCCCAAATAGGTCAAAATATGGGTAATCAACTATGCTGAGTTGAATGGTGATATTTGTTTTTAGTTTCAATGTGACCTCAAGCTGTTACCCGAAAATCTCGATATATGCAACACATGACAGCAGAAATTTAATTTTCGAAAATTTTCTCTCATGACTTGAGATCACATTGAAACTGAAAATAAATATCGCCATTCGACTCAGCATAGTTGATTACCCATATTTTGACCTATTTGGTGACGATTCAAGGACAGTTCTTCCAAATCCTGGGTCTCTGGAAAACCTCCATGGTTCTTGAACAGAACGGTCTAGAGAGCTCGTCCTTGTGTAGATCGATGAAAAAAAGTGTGGACAATCAACCGGCATCATCAGAAGTACAAGTGTAATGGAAATTTAGAAAACCTCGATCTCTGGAAAACTCAAAGCAACCTGTTGAAAAATAATGTTTTTATGTCTCGATAGCCCGGACATGCCTCTCTCCAATGGTGAAAATCGCAGCTCTCTATCTTGTTCCTATCAAAAGTTATTCAATTTACATTCAGTTCATTCTATTTTGAAACGGATAGTAGTTATATATATTAGGATTTTTTCTTCTAAACGAAAGTTCCCAAACTAGTACTATTTCCTTTCTACCTGAATAGATTCTCTATTCATTTGTCCCTAAATGATTCTAATTTGTATTAAGAACTTCATTGATTTCTTCAAAAAAAATCCATCAAATATGAAAGTAGAGCAGATGAATATGGTGTCTTCTTTTTGGAACAAAAAATTCGAACTAGATAAATTCGAAACCGACATTTTACGCTAAAGTTTTCAGTCGATGGATTCATATCAGATGTCAATGGTCTCAATCAAGGATGAGTTCTTCAAGACACATCAATCTCATCTTGTTTTATAGAATCTATCATATAAACGATTGATTACCTATATCAGAAACCATTGACACTTGTTTTTCTTCATCAAAAAAAATCGTGAACACTCGCCAATCAAATGTTAACGTGAGTTCATCTAATTGATGTTCAATAAGATAAGATAAACATTGAATTATCGGTTCAATTGATCCACATCCAGTTATAATAAGTGATTTAAGATTAGAAAAATGGAGAATTTTTTTATCATTAAACAACCATTCATAACAAAGATCAGAAGCAATTGAATTTGTTTCATCAAAATGAATACGTTTAATAGAAGAAGAAAGAGATGAAGAATTTAAAATCAATGGAAATAATATTGAACGATATTTATTATAAGATAAACCCTGTTTAATAAGAATACCAGAATTTGATAGATTACCACCAGTTTTTGAAAGAGTTGAACACACAAGAAAGTTGAACCGAATATTTAATGACCAAAAAGATATTAACATATCGAACCATTCAAGATAAGAAAAAATATAAAGAAGAATTTCATTAGGTAGTCTTTCCATTCTAGTTATCATTTTATCTAAAAAGATAAAAAAAAATATATTACACTTCTCTTTTCTTTCAGATTAGATCACAATTGATTGACAATGGAATGATTAACATAATCAAATGAAAAGAAATTCTATTCATTTTTCAAATTTCCATAAATATTAATTGATTTCAAACAGTTTTTACTTAAACTAGAAAATCATTTTAAAATAAAAACTCGTCTAAGTCTTGAGACATTAGTGAAGCAAAACTATTTGATAAATAAGAATGCTATTTCTTAATTCATGCAAGCATTATACAAATATATGAGATCGACAATTTCAATCTTATTATTTTATTAATTCAGTTTTTCATCGAATTATTTTACCAGAAAAAAAAGAAAATTTTCGTTTTACGAATATATGAAAAGTAAATGTTTTTATTAAA